TATATATATATATATATATATATATATATATATATATATATATATATATATATATATATATATATATATACAGTATATAGAAATATACATACATACAGTTGAAGTCATAATTATTAGCCCCCTTTGAATTTTTTTCTTTATTAAATATTTCCCAAATGATGTTTCACAGTATATCTGATAATGTTTTTTTCTTCTGGAGAAAGTCTTATTTGTTTTATTTCGGCAAGAATAAAAGCAGTTTTTAATTTTTTTAACACTACTTTAGGACAAAATTATTAGCCCCTTTAAGCTATATATTTTTTTCGGTGGTCTACAGAGCAAACCATCGTTTTACAATAACTTGCCTAATTACCCTAACCTGCCTAGTTAACCTAATTAACCTAGTTAAGCCTTTAAATGTCACTTTAAGCTGTATAGAAGTGTCCTGAAAATATATAGAGTCAAATATTATTTACCGTCATCATGGCAAAGATAAAATAAATCAGTTATTAGAGAGGAGTTATTAAAACTGTTTTATTGAGAAATGTGTTGAAAATAAAAATCCATCCCTTAAACAGAAATTGGGGAAAAAAATGAACAGGGGGGGCTAATAATTCTGACTTAATTCTGAATTCTGTCATGAAACCTGCTGAATTAAGGATGAAATCTGACCATACGGTTATTTAATACAGCGTTCCTGCTCATGAACTTAGTTTGTAGAGGGTGAAAAGTTTTGCAAAAGTTCATAAGCGGTCTAGACCCAACCACGTGGAAGAATCCCGAACCGCTCCACACCACAACATCTTCCCCTTACATAATTTCCATGTGGAAATATTTGGGTTTGCTCTTAATTGGAAGAAAATCAAAACAAATTGCTTCTCTATTTTTGGCGAAACTGCAGATAAAAGGCCGCTCTCTGTTGAATGCCAATTACAGAATGAAAGATAATACAGAACTGGGCCCGATCCTGAAATCTCCAATTGAAAAAGTGAAGCCACATGTGAGTTTGGTGGCACCGCAAATACTTTCCCACGCAGGAAAAAAAACACAGCGCTGTTGCCAAAGCTGGGATTTACTGCACATAAAGCCTTTGCAGACCTAAGGGGAGAAAACCCAAATCTCTGCGTTGTTCAATAATATACAAGCGCCTTATTTGACAAATCTCAACATCCAATCCAGATCTCCATCATTTGTTCAGCTGCATGACGGTAAGACCAATGCAGGCTGTTTGCTCATGAAGCCAGCGAAAGCAGACGCACGTAAGTTCATGAGAAACCGGAACGCTCTTCGCACCTCTCACTTCTTACGAGAACCTTCAGAAAAACACCTCGTACCCCAGTAACGTAACCTCACACGGACGCCTCGACACAAAAAAGGCGGCTACCAGCGCTCTGTGGCTTTAAACATCTCTCACTTTGAAGCAAACATCTTTGTTTTTCTCGACTTTTTTCCCCAACCGCAGTTGAGAGCATCGAGAGATGGTGTTTGATAGAACCACAAATAAGCCCAACGGTCTGCTTCATTCCCTGGCAGTGCAGAGCAGAGCATGCAGAAGTGTGGTAATGTGAGATGGGAGCCTGTGTTTTTTTGAAGACCACACACTGCTGAGGGTGATGGAGATCCATTTAAGCCCCGATTGGAGATTGTAAACATGCATCTAAGACTGCAGGAATTAGCTCTCGTGTTTTTTCAATCGCAAGATCTGTTGCAATAATTGACATATCAATGCACGGACACGACCACAATCATTTCTGATGATGCAATTTATATCTCAGCCATCGTGTTTACACAGAAATGAACATCAGCAACATCTCTGTTGTGACATCTTCAGAAACAATGCTAGCTGAAAAAAGCTGAACTTTTACATTTACTGAAAACTACTAATGCTTCATATGAACTTCCAGAGAATAAGATCACATTCAGAGTCCATTTTACAATGAAATATACATCCTACATCACTGATGTCAGAGTTTATATTAGGCCCTTTTTTGAAATATTAAATTTAGGGGGTCAATATTCTGATATTATTCTCAATATCCACAAGTTTGCTCAAACAATGCACCAACAGGAGAGCTTTCACACTGGATGCAGAAATGGCTGCGCTATGAAACCCATTCATTTCAATGGCTTGCACTACTCAATAACATTTTGTTGCATTTTAGTTGCAACATGGCGGTAAAAGTTCAAAATAGCTCAATAATCTGCTCTGCGGATATGCTTATTTAGGCATTAACCACTAATTCTCAACCTAAAAAACTAAGTCTGCTTAAATAATGTACTAACATGACGTTTCTATGTAGTATACTTGTTTACGCTGCTAGCAATACCGCTGTTGTGCTGGCATGGCAATGCGGGCAATTCCCAAAATCTGAATAACCTTAAGAATTAAATGTTTTTGTCCATCGAAAGTGTTAAACTGTTGTATATTCATTATCTTTTCAGTATGGATGCCCCCAAAATTTAAATTCTGGGGTCAAAACAAAAATTAAGGATGCACTTGGCTAAAAAATAAAGCTACTTAGTAATAATTATTTATTATTTTATTAAATATAACATAATTTTGTAAGACTTTTTAAATTTAGCTCAGTAACTTAAATCATAAACAAACAAGCACATTAAATAACCATTATTTACAGAGAGGGATCACAATAGCGCCATTGCAAGCAGCATGAATAGGTATACAACATAGAAACGTTATGTTGGCACATTATTTTAGCAGACTTTGTTTTTTAAGTAAGAAGGTGTGGTTCATGCCAACATAAGTAAATCCACAGAGCAGATTATTGAGCTATTTTGAACTTTGAACCACCACGTGTGCACAAGCTAGGTGTTGGTGCAACTAAGGGTGCTTCCACACTTGGTTTATTTGCCTGGACCGTACCCAAGTTCGATTGTCCCCCCCTTTCCACCTTCTCGGTTAGTTTGTGTTCCCACTGTCTTTTTTCCTACTGAACCCCATTACGCTTGCATCATCAAGCTGCTGTTTTGTTTACGGCTGTTGCTAGGTGACGGTCACAAAAGCAAAGCGGCGAAATGGAAAAACGTTCGTACCGTTCTATGACGTCAAATGAACCCAGGTGCGGACCAAAAGTACTAGTGTGAAAGCATCCTTAAATGCAATGGAGTGAAGCAAGCCATTGAAATGAATGGGTTTCATAGCGCAGCAATTTCTGCGTCCAGTGTGAAAGCTACTTCAAAACACACAGTGACTACAGCTGGATGGTGCTGAATAGTGCAGCACTGCATAATTGTTTATGTTGGGTTTTGTTTGCTTATATTGTCAGCCGCTTTTCTTTTTGAACTGGAAATTATTAGCAGAATACATCATTTTCGATTGTTGCTGGCTGAAAAATTGGTGCATCCCTAATAATCAGCACCATTGAATGTTCCTAAATTGACGGCACAACCAAATGCTCAACCAATTGTGCCTGCCAAATGTTCAGATATGTTATGTGATCACAAATGCAACCATGAGCAATAAGCTACTGAATGCAGTACACTTACTGGCCACCAGTGTCACTAATAACAAGACTTCCTGAATCGTATACACACAATCTGGCATGATGCATGCCATGTGTGATTAGAGATCTGCAACAAGATTTTCAGAAAAATAAATGACTTCAATTCAAGTATGCAGTTACTATTTTGGTCAGCGCAGTTTATATTTGGTCATGTTTTTTTTTTGCCGTTTCATTTGCATCAATACACAACACCTTAGGCCCAAACTCACCTCTGCTAATGCGACCCACACACATGTTGTCAGGCGACACGACTTCCTGTTTGACTGAGAAATAGTCTCCCTGCAGGGGGTTGAGCGGCGCGTCCCGCAGGATGACGTTGGGATACTCGCTCTCGTATTTGAGCGACAGCAGGTCTTCTGAACTGATGGGGTGAAGCGTCTGATAGGACTCTGTGATGAAGCTCGGCTCAGAGTATTCAGACGGAGGGACACACTGAGGATGCTCAATGCCATAGTCTAGAGAGAAAGACGATTAAATAGACATTAAATACAGAAGAGTAATTACATAAAATGAGAGATCAGTTTACTCAGGGTTAGCGTTGTTACTCATATAGTTCAGATATATATGATCGGATGCTTTCTGGGGTCCGTTCTTCGTACCTCGCTTAAATGATCTAAGATGATTTGGCAGATCCTGGATCTGTTAATCTTGATAACTGATCTCTCGCTAATTTGGTTCTTCAAACAAGTTCGCGAATCAGATTAGAATGTCTGGATAAACTGATCTGAGATCGCTGCGTGTGTTGTGAAGGACAGATCTATCGATCCTCGAAATCATAATCAGCAATGCAACGATTGGCTGACGGCACAGCAGCGTAATGACATCATCTGATTAATATTCAATTATCCATGTGAGCAAAATTACATAAATTAGCAGTAAACCGTTAAATATGACACGCAATAACCTTCCACATTTGTTGTGAGCTGCAGGCTTTACACTTTCATGTGTCAAGACAAGAGTATTCATCATGTATTTCAATGCAAATCAGTGTATTTAGTTCTACATTTAGAAAAGATTTTCTTTATTATAGTAGCCTGTTTTTTAATCGGTGTAAAGAATAACTGGTTGTTTACAAAAGCGTTTTCACATTGGTAAAGGCGTCTGGAACTTTTGTGAAGCATCAAATCACTGTCATATTAACTATCAACACATGTTTATGACTGCATAAATGTGTTATTGCTTTAAAAAAAGTCACATATTGTGCATTTCTATTATACACAATTTGTACTAAAGCGATCTAAAAAGTTAATTTCAATAAGTTGTCTCTTTGCACCAGGTGGCAGTCTTTGTACTTTCATTTCGAGGGTGTAGATTGCACAAGTTTTATTAATATGTATAACTTTATTTATTTTATTAATGACTATAACTTTATATATATAGTTAAAAAATATGTACCATTTTCCCAAGTGTATATAACTACTACTGTAAGAAAATATCAGAATTCAGTACATACTTTCAGTATTATCTTTGCTTGAACTGAGCCGATCTAATCCTGTTTATATGAATTGAACCTGCTCCCAATCAGGTTTGACCTAGCAGAACTGTTGCCATGACAACAACTCTCGGATCAGCTTTGAAGAACGAAACGATCCTGGATCGTGTCAAATCGTCAATATCCAAATCCAGCTAACTGAGTAATCCACGTACGAAGAACGGACCCCTGAACATCTTTATTCTTGTGTTTATTTTGCTTTTGAGAGGAAACAGTGCATCACATACATGATCATAGTACGTTTATATAAAGATCTATATTAAAAGTGCAAGATTACTCAAATAAATTTTCCAATCAAAGAACAAATATGAGGCCTCACAGCAAGAAAGGTTGCGATTTCGAGTCCCAGCTGGGTCAGTTGGCATTTCTGTGTGTAGTTTGCATGTTCTCCCAGTGTTGGCGTGGGTTTCCTATGGGTTTCCCCCACAGTCCAAAAACATGCACTATAGGTGAATTGAATAAGCTAAATTGGCCATAGTGTATGAGTGTGTGTGTGAATGCGAGAGTGTATGGATGTTTCCAAGTGCTAATTTGCAGCTGCAAGGGCATTCGCTGCCTAAAACATTTGCCAGATAAGTTGGCGGTTCATTCCTCTGTGGCAAACCCTGATTAATGAATGAGAACTAATATGAACTTTGCAATGCATCACGTTCTGAATCTTGTGTTATGTGCGATCAAATGCAAACATGAGCAATATGTTACTGACTGCAGTTCACTACATGGCCACCGGTGTCGCTAATAACAAGAGTTTCCGAATCGTATATACAAGAGCTGACGTGATACATTTTCCGAGATTAAATGACTTACATTTAAGGATGCAAGATATATCGGTTACCATATTGGTTAACACAGTACACTTTTTTCTCCTTTATTTATTTACATAATTATGTAGATATCCTTTGCAATTAAACAGTCATGTAAATAGAATTTTCACAACACAAATAATTTACTAACACTGAAAATAAGCAAATATTATTGTACTAATATTAGCAAAAATAAATGTGCATTTACCATATTGTACATTTGAATTGAGTCAGCACAATTTTTTTAGATTTGCTCCATTTATTTTGACAAAATGTCAGAAATTTAATGTTATTATACACACCAAAATACTAATAATAATAATTATTATTATTATTATCAGGATTTAATTAATTATTTAACTTAATTAAATATCAGTCACACCCGTTTCTGCATGGATTAAGTCTGAAGCTGTGTTTCTCATCTTGTGCGTGTTGTGCTGTGTTTTGATGTGTCCTGTCACCCATCACCAAACGTCCCCACTAGTATAGCAATACCAGATTTTTTTTTTTTTGGTGGCTCATTTTTCAAAATAGCTCAATTCACCCAGAATTAAGTATTTAGAAAATGTAAATGAGGGAGGATGACAAAATATACAGCCTGTCCAGTAAAAAAATCTTTACATCTATAGGAAGTCCCCATAAAGATAGCTGTACAAGTGTGTGTGGTGTATAGTGTCAGAAATGATGAACAGCTCGTGTTGTACTCCTGAAGATGAGTTTTGATGATGCAAACGGAGAGAAACTGGCCGGTACACTCACTGAAGAAATATTCGGAGGGATAGCGGGACTCCTGGAAGCTGGAGCTCAGGCTGCTGACGGGGAAGTGCTTCGGGTCTTCTGTGTCAAACAGATACAAGACACTCTTAAAGATCATGCTGATTGATTACAACACACACACAGTCTTCTGATGTGCATGTCAGGTTTTCACACCTCTCCAGCATTCGACATGACAAACCACAGCATGCGCGACTAGAAGATCTACAAGAATATTTACTGTAACGTTTATTTAATTCTTTGCGAAAATCAGCAGGTTAATGACATGATGTCTATCATATCTGCTAGGAGGAGCTGAGTTTAGAGTTCCAGCTAATTTCACTACTATTAATGTGCTACGTTTTAATGTAAGTTGGCTGAATATTAAAACAACTACACTTTAATTATTATTACAATATATACATTTGCATGTATTAATATACATTTATTATATATTACAATAGGGTATTATATGTATTTTAAAGATTTAATTAGTATTAATTATTAATGTAAATCTAATTAAATGTATTTTAATTTATCTAATGAACATTATTTAACATTTACTATGACTTGGATTACTGTCACGTAAAAAAAAAAAAGTAAACACTTAAAATATGGCAAATTAAACAATTAACTTACTCTAAAAATTAATTTAATTTACAATTATTTTAATTTAGTTTGTTTTATTTAAATACATTTTTATTTTCAAATAAATGTAAATTTTATTTAATTGTATTTTAATTAAACTTAATCAGCATAAATGTAATTTATCTAATAAAATAATTTAAAGCAATTAAAATAATTTAAGTGATACTAATTATTATCACTTGGATTACTATCATGAAAAGTAAATTATTGAAACTTATTGAAAATATGGCAAATTTTATATAATTAAATTGAATTAAAAATGTTATAAAATTAGTTTTTATTTTAATTGAATTCGATTTAATTAAATTTTAATAATTTTACTGTAATTAATATAAATTTATCTAATAAACCCATTTAACTTTTTTCACTTGGATTACTGTCATATTAAAAAAAAAAAATTAACCACTTACTGAAAATAAGGCAAATTAAATTGAATTAAACTAATGCAATTTTAAATAATTAAATTTTTATTTAATTTGTTTCATTTATTTTAATTCAGATTTTATTTTGTCATCATTTAAAAATTTAACTAGTATACATTTAATTTATTTAATAGAGATTATTAAACATTTAAAGTTTTACTGGCATCACTTATTTTAACTTTAAATTATTATTTTATATCATTTAATTTGTCAAGTCAAGCATGTCAAGATGTTATTTTGGTGGCTGACTGCAGATTACAGTATAAGTGGATTGTACAACATGCATTACATGTACCTTTCTGCAGCATCTCTAAATGCCCCCAGAGGATGTCGCCCACAAAGTCTGGTGCCAGGTCCAGAAATCTCTCCTTGCCGAGCGCACAGAGACTCGCTCCGTCCATACTGAACTTGTGGAAGTCCACGTTCTTCAGACTGAACTCATTCACCGTCCAGGTCAACCATTCCCTCACATGGCCTTCTGTCCACTCACGCGGGTCTGCAGAGACAACACACACAATGTTAAGTAAGTATCACTTAAGTAAATGTAAAGCCATAAAAATAAACCCCCTTTGTAATATACTGTATGTATGCATGTATGTATATATATATATATATATATATATATATATATATATAT